GTGCTATTGTTCAGGTTTAAACATCAGATCGAATTTGAAAGGGCCATGGTCTGTGAAATGTAAGTTGTCAGAGGGATTGGTTTAGAACTTGGCCTCATAATTTCACTATTCGTTAAGCCAACCACCATATTTAAAATAAAATACAATAATGTGGGAATGGTTCCCCTGCACTACTTTCAAATAGTTCATGAAACTAACCAAGCCATGGTCTATGAATTGTCTAAAGCGGTAGCTACCACCTGGATCAGGTGGGCTGCACTTTCTGTATGCAAACAGCCTCTTTGCATGTTCACGTTTCCCGCACTATCTACGTCCACAGCTTGGGCCTGGAGAGGAGAGGAGATGGGGGGGGCTGGGAGCTGTTTCTACCTCATTTTGCCTTGGTACAAAGGGACAGTAAACCTGCGAGGCAAGGGCTGACGCAGAGCAGGCCCCAGCAGCTAGCGCTGGGCTGGGCTGCGCCCCTGCGAAGTGGAGTTCCGGCCGCTGGGGCCGGGGCCACTCCGGAGCGGAGGGTGAGCGGTGACTGCCCCGCTGCTGGGGCCGCCTTGAGCCTGTAACGCGAAGCTGCCGTTCGTTTTCAGGCTGTTTTCAATCCCGCCCTCTGCCAGTCTGGTGCAAAACTGGCCCGGTAGCCAGGGCTGCGTGTGGACGCGGCGGTGGAACTGCGGCTCTTTCCCTGCTCGGGGCGAAGCCGCCGCTGCTGCAGCCCAGGGCAGCGGGAGGTGGCCGGGTCTCCTGCCTGCAGCCTGCGCTGGGTTCCGCGCGGCTCCCCCGGGGCTCCAGGGACGGGTCGCTCCGGCCTCCCGCAGCCAGGCTGGAGCCCGGGCCCGGGCCGGCTTTGATGCTGCTGCGCCCCGCCCGGAGGGGCCAATGCCGGGCAGCCCGAGCGCCTGGCTTCGCCTCTCGCCCTCCCCGTGTTTCCCGGCGCTGCTAGCGGGGTCTCGGTGCGGGAGAGACGCCGGCGAGGTCTCAGCCTGCAGCCGGGCTTAGACAAAGGACAAGCACAAAGATCAGGCCAGGCAGGAGCAGGAAACCTAAAATCGCGGCCGGGAGGGCCTGGACGCCACCCTGCAGAAGGGCGGTGTGGCCCCGTGCCCTTCCCTTTGCACCTTCGCCCTTTCGGAGTAGGCAGAGCACCTCGGGCCCTGGCATGAAAACCCACCATGGGCTGTGACTGCTTCCCGTCTGGAACAATTGTCACTAGGGCCAGTCTAATCGGAGCCTCCTGTGTCCCACTGGTTCCGCTGCGCTGAAATTGTGGGCGACGATAAGGGATCGGCACCGCAGTAGCATTTCAGCACAAAGGTTTATAATGGTACTGATACTGTATTTCTACGTTCCACAAATAAAGGCTATTAAATAGTTTACAATCATCTCAATTTCAGCATTTGCAATCATGGGAGGCTGAGACTGTCTATTGTGAAACTATCTCAGAGTAGCAGCTTTGAACATCCTTACGACTGATTGAATTGTTTATCACTGAAGCAGAAATAGTGCATTTAGTATAAGTACTTTACCCTGTATAGGAAGAAAAATCTAACAGGAGAAGGTTGAAAATAATGAGAGATCCGTGTTTCATTCAGATCCTTTCTCCTGTAGGGTTTGTTTCTTTTCTCTCACAATCTGGTTGGGATTTGTATGCATCTGTGCACTAGGGGGCAATGTGTCTGTTTCAAAGAAACCATCCCAACAACACTATTGCAAACACAAAACCCCACCACTCACTCAGAGAAATCCAGAGTCTCATACAGACATTAACCGAGGGAGAGATACACAATCCCTCTTTCACACATACAGTTTAGCCTGAACTGACTGAATAGAAGACTTGGTACTTGGGTGCCCTATAATTAGGTGTAGAAGTGGGTGGCTGGGGAAGGTTAGAAAAGCGACCACACGTCTTTCCATTCATGAGCTGGGTTCTGGGGGGCTTCATGAAGTCCTGGCCCGTAGAAAGGGTATTTTTGAAAATCAACTTAAGGTCCGGGCTGCTGAAGAATAGTGGGACAGCGCTTGGACATTCCTACATCCCCCACCAGGCAGTGTTGAATAAGACTAGACCCTCCAACTTTATTAAAATAGAAGTGCTTTGTCTAAAATGCTGGTCTTTTCCTGTAACGTTTTGAACTGGGTTAAATTGTATTAGCCGCTGGTCTGGGGAGCTGGCATTTTCTTTTGTCACTATTTTCCCTGGAATCGGTAAGATTTTCTTTTATTCCTTTGTATTACTGTCAGTCTTTACTTATTGTATTTTCTGCCCATCGCCTGGTATAAACTACGCACCCCACCCCAGGCCTTCCACAGCTCTCCTTCCCCCCCTGTCACTTTGCTAAGTAATAATTTCCATGTCCAATTCCATTTCTTTTCTAGTTCTGAAATCTCTAAGCCATCAGCAAGGAGGATAGTTCACATGAAAACTAATTACACAAAATCAATATTTAATCACAGCCCAGCATCCTGATCCTGCAGAAAAAATCCTTTTAAAACTCTACTGCCATATACAAATACTTCTTCTCGGCCGCTTATTTATAGATCTCATTTTTTTGGTTGGAGTAATTTTCATTTTTATTTTTTTAAATCTATTGACATCTAGGAAATGCGAACACCTGAATTGCCTTATAGTTGTAGTTTATTTCTAAATCCAAGGATTTTTAAAAAAAGAAGTATTTTCCTTTAGAAATGCTGTCGCCTGACGTTCTCTCGTTGCATCTCCACAAATACGGGAGAAGTTTCTCCCAATATTTTTAAAGCCTTTGGATTCAGTCTAATCCCGCTTTCACGAGCAGGGTGTGATGGGGAGAACTGGATAACTTCTACCATCCCGGTTTGTAGGCTTGCCTGGTTTGGTTAAAGTCTAAATGGAAAAGGACATAGGGTGAGAATAATTTCTGTATAACATTTATTTAATGCGCAGTTTAGAAAAAAGTGGAACGAACCGGACCTACACCGACCTTAAACACATGTTTAAACGGAGTTTCTATGTAATATTTGTATTCATATTGAACCGAGTTAGCGTAATTGTAATTGAGTTTTTTTAATGTAACCCTGTTGCCAAGATCCCCTTTGACTACCTGATTTCAAAGCTGTCCACCCTTTTTACAAACTTCTAATTGCGGGGGGTTTCAGCGCCAGTGGAGAGCCGAAAGAGCTAAACATTTTAACTAAGATTATTGGGATAAATATTTCATAAAGAGCAGAGCAGATATTAAATTACACTTATTGATTTTGGTATCACAACCCAATTCCTCTCCTTAGCCCCTCTAGACTAATTGATCTCTTAAGGAGGCTTGGCTGTCTGGCCATTACTTTGAATGATAATAATAATAAAAAACACTATCAACGTTACAACAGAAATCTTGCTTAGACACACTAGTACTTCGCGCAACGCTTGAAGCAAGTGTAGAAATAAAGACCAGAAATAAAATAGGTAGCCTGCACTTTGCACTGGCTGAGTCTAATGCTCATAACGGATTTCTGTTGTCCCTCAGCCCAGGTCCCTAAGGACAGCAGCGAGCAATAGACCCCCCCTCCCCCCACTTTCCAGTCCTCTTTCATTGCAAACTGAAAAATAAAAGTGGGGAGAAGGGCGGCAGGCGTCTTCACTCCCATTCAGCGGCGCTGCACTGAGCCCCGGCCGGATGGAGAGAGGAGCCTTGGAGATGGGAAATGGGAACAGTTGTTGAGGCGCGTTGGGGGAGTTGAGGCTCTCCCGGAAAACTTACCCTCAACAAAACCACTTAACGCGGCCCCAAAGGCGCTCGCCCCCTCGCCCCGCGGAGCAAAGGCAAACGTGTGTGAGGGCTGTGTAGACATGTCATTTACATCCATGCACCGCCGCGATGAGCAGGAGCGTTACAATGTCAAACCGCTGTCGAGACGGTGCACGTCGGATGTAACGTCTCCTCCATGGCAGCCGGGGTTTGTTTTTAGTGCCCGCAATGGGACTCCGGCCCGGCCCGGCCCAGGCGTGCATTGTTTACACGGGAATCGCACCTACCAGCGCCAGAGCGCGCACCGCCCGTCTGCGCCGAGCGGAGAGCCCTGCGCTCCGCTCGGGCGGCCGGTCCGGTGCGCTCCGCTCGGGCGGCCGGTCCGGTGCGCTCCTGCTCCGCGGAGCCGCAGCGAATCGCAGGCGCTAACAAAGGGCCCTCTTTCGGGCCGACAGTTGTACCTCGCCTGGTTTGCAACAGGGCTGGAGGGGGAGGGGTTCAGCTGCCGAGAGGCGCGGCCAGAGCCCAGGCCGGGCGGGACGGTGATGGGCACCGAGCGCACGCAGAGCCCGGCTGCCAGGGGCTGCGGAGCGAGTGGGAAGGAGCCACCTTAACGGAGAGCCCCGCCCCGGGCCGGAGCACGCGGGCCGCTCATTGGTGGGGCGCTAATGGCTGGAATTGATTGCTGAAATGCAAAACTTGTTGCTGTTTCTCCAGCTCTGGGTGAGAGAGGGAGCGGGAGAGAGGGGAGCGGAGACCCTGCAGCGCCCCGAGCCGGGCACCCCGCACCGCCTGCGGCCGACGGGACCCTGCAGCGCCCCGAGCCCGGGCCGACGGGACCCGCCCGGGACCCAGAGACCGCGCCGGCAGAGCCTGGGGCCGGCAGCCGGGCAGGGAGCCCCTCGGAGCCCCGAGCGCAGCAAGGCGCGGAGAGCGGATCCCGTGCGCCCGGCACGCAGAGCCCGCCGGAGCCGCGCTGGGCTGCCCGAGGCTGAGCCGCGCTGCCAGCGCCTCCGCAGCCCGGCGATGCGGAGCGGAGCTCCCGGGGACTGGAGCCGATGAGCTGCGGAGCCGAGCCCCGCCGGATGTCGGGGAGAGCCGGCCGCCGCACCAGGTGTGAGGGAGCGGGGCGCTCCCAGGCGTAAGTGCCGCGGCCGCTCGGAGAGCCCCGGGCTGCGTGGGGCGGAGGCTCGGACCCAGGCGGACAGATTTCATTTCCTTGAACTTTGTTGGGCAGCCGGGGCTGCCGCTGCCGGTTCCTCCGCGCCCGCCCCGCCCGCGCGCATCCCCGCTAAGCGCCCCCACGCCCCGGCCACCTGCCCCGCAAGATGTGAGCGCGGGGGCAGCTCCCTGGGGACCCGGCTCGCCCCGCCGCTGCCTGCTGCAGGGACACGGCCCCTCGGCTCCGAGTCGGCTGCTCTCGCTCGCGGCGGTGCCGAGCGCGCTCCTGGGGGAGCCGGTCCGAGTCGCGCACCGGGGCGCGCGGGGTGCCATGCCCTGCTGATCCCCAGAAGCATGTTTGGGCTGGAGCAGTTTGAGCCTCAGATCAGCAGCAGAAACGCCGGACAAGGAGAGAGAAACTTTAGCCAGGCCGGACTGACCATGAGCTCCCACTTCAAATCGCCAGCTTTCCACTCGGGGGGCCCCGCGGATCCGGCCATCAGCGCCCTGGCCGAGCCTCCCATCCTGGGCATGAACATGAACATGGCGGGGGAAGCGTACGGCTTCCATGCCCGGGGACACTCGGAGCTGCATGCAGGGGGGATGCAGGCTCAGCCGGTTCATGGCTTTTTCGGCAACCAGCAGCCTCACCACGGTCATCCCAACACCCACCACCCGCACCAGCATCACCCGCACTTCAGCGGCAACTTTGGGTCCGATCCCAGCGCCTCCTGCTTGCACGGAGGGCGGCTGATGAGCTACAACAACATGGGCAGCCAGCAAGCGTTTGCGGAGGGGTATGAACATATGGCTGAGAACCAAGGAGGCGAAGGCTTTGGACAGCAAAGGTCAGGTAACATGCCCGATTTCCAGCACCACAACTCCAGCGCCTCTAACCACGCCGTGCCAGCACCCTGCCTCCCACTGGATCAGTCTCCCAACCGGGCTGCCTCCTTCCACGGGCTTCCAGCCTCCAGCTCCTCGGATTCCCATAGCCTGGAGCAGAGGCGGCTTCCCAACCAGGGCGGCGTCGATTCTTTGGAATACAATTACCCCAGCGATGGCCCTGCAGGACACTTTGATTTGCCAGTGTTTTCCCCTTCCGAGTCCGACGGGCAGCTTCCTCACTATGGTGCTGGCAGACAAGTTCCTGGGGGCGGCAGTTTCCCTGGCACATCTGTTTTGCCCAGAGCCCCAGGCATAGTGGGGATGTCCAAAGTTCCCCCGCAGCCGCAACATGGTGTATTCTTTGAAAGGTTTGGAGGGGCTCGTAAGATGTCTGTGGGCCTGGAGCCGGGTGTTAACGCCAGACATCCTTTAATGCAACAGCAGCAACAGACAGGTTTACTGGCCAGACAAAACTCCTGCCCGCCAGCGATTCCCAGGCAACAGCAAACAGAAGCCAACACTCCCAACCCCAACTTGCAGGACAATGGGCCGATACTGCAGAACCAGCATGCCCCGTTTGAATACCCTATTCACAGACTGGAGAACAGGAATATGCATCCATATACCGATCCCGTCTTTAATATGCAGCACCCTGCTCCGCAACAGCAGCCGAATCAAAGGCTGCAACACTTCGATGCCCCGTACATGACTGTGGCCAAGAGGCCCAGGTTTGACTTCCCCGGTAACCCCGCTGTGGAGCGGTGCGCGTCCTGGAATAACAACCTGCACAGCGCGGGGATGGAAAACCATCTGTCGCCTTCCGCCTACCCCGGCCTCCCGGGCGAGTTCACGCCGCCGGTCCCGGAGAGCTTCGGCCCGGGCCCGCCGCTCCAGCACCCGGGCCCCGACCCGCAGGCCCTGCAGCAGCGCCAGAACGCCGCCCTGATGATCAAGCAAATGGCGTCCCGGACCCAGCAGCAGAGACTCCGGCAGCCCGGCCTGCAGCAGCTGGGGCACCCCGCGGACGTGGGCCCGGGCAGCCTGGTGCACGCGGGCCCCGGGGGCCACCTGCCGCAGGCCGGCTTCGAGCGCGAGAGCGCAGGCCGCGGGCCCAACTTCGAGCCGCAGCCCCCGCACCTGGCCCAGGACAGCGGCTGGTTCCCCGGCCCGCACCCGCCGGGAGAGCTGCTGCCGCGGCGCATGGGCGGCCCCGCCGAGCCCGGCCCGCACGACCTCAGCCTGCCGCAGAACGGCTCCGGCCTGCTCTTCCGGCCGGCCGCGGGCGGGCTGGGGCTGGCGGGGGAAGGACACGGGCCGGCCCTGC